CTGGATGATGTATCAAACTCAGTTAAATCAAATCAAATAATCGCACCTTTTCATCAGGGTCGTTCTTGCTGTCGAAACTTTTAAGAAAATTCTGCAAGATCTCTTTCTCTGTCCATTCGCCATTCTGGTACTTTGGGTGATATCTAACGTTGTACACTCCTTTGATATCAGCCACTGTGCACACCCCATCACCTGTTCTATCGAGCTTTTGAAATACTGCTTTGATTTTATTCATTCTTGCCTCTGACATCGGAGGCTATGGATAAATATTTATTATACATTTTATTCAAACAATATATATTTTATTAATATTATATTTATTTGCATGTAAACCCAATAACGCACGGATTTATATTATCGATGTAGGGAAATTAAATGTATTGTCAGTAAGCATTGTGCTGAAGAAAGAGTTATTTATTTATACTGCAAATCTGTTACAGTCTGTGTTGCTTAAAATTCACTATCAAACGAGTCCAAACGACTATTACAAGCTTTAACTATAGAGAGCAGTGCGCATGCGGGACCCAAAAGGTTTTCCGACAAAAAGTATTAGGTATATCCCCTATATGCAGATCTGGGGTCCAGGCGGGTTCCAAACGGGGTTCTGCCTTGTCGGCCGCCACAGAGTAACATACAATCATTTGAGTTTCTACATCCTAGATTCTCTCCTATCTTACCGACACTGTTTGGGCCTACTTAGGCCTAAAGATCGCCACCTTATATCCTACTTGAAGGCTCAAGATAGCATACAGTCTTTTCGAAGCTTCATACTGAAGCTAAACTAAGGTGGGTGTGTAAAATGCCGTCAACAGTCTGGGTGCAGGACAAATAATGAGGGACTGATGGGGGAAAAAAAAGGACAATAGTTATAAACTTAGGTGATTCTTTTAAAATAACATTTCAATTTTTATTTTTGAGATAGGTGGTATTAATATTATCTTTAAACATACCCTTAATGCAACTATGAACTCGTCGAAGCTGATACTACCGCTCTTGTCTTTGTCGAAACGATCGAACAATTCCTTTCCATCATCGCGGTTACACTTAAGGCCGTAGTCGTGGATGCCTTCTAAAAATTCTTCGAAGTTTAGTGTTTTACTTCTGTCATCATCCATGATTCTAAACTGTCTGTTTTATATGAAAATGTAAAAACACGAATCATTTTATTATTCAGATCTTTGTGATTTAAATTTGTGACATAATCATACAAGTATATTAAGTAAGGGGCTAAATATAAAGTTTCTTTTTTGTAAATAACATAATTGAGTAAATAAGAAAAGTAAGTGTAAATATTGTTAATATTTTATCAATATATTAAGTCTTATCAATATCATTATTGCTATTATTATCATAATTATCTTCACCATCGTCATTATTATTATTATTAAAATTATTCTCATTACCATCTTTATTGTTAATAAGTTTACTATTGCTGTTGGTACTGCTGCTGTTATTATAATTATTAAACAAATAATTATACAAGAATTGATAAAGGACCTAAACACAAACATTTTTTTTGAAATAACATAATAATAACAATGATAAGAAATATAAGTATAATTATTTTTAATAATATTAATATTATTAACATATTATTTCAATATTATTATTATTATTATTATCATTATCATAATTACCATCACCACTGTCATTAATATTATTAAAATTATTATCCTCATTATCACCTCTATTGTTAATAATAAGTTTACTATTGCTGTTGATGTTTATGATGTTGATTTTACTATCACCCTTATTATAATTATTATAGAAAAATTATATTTGAAATTACCTGCCAAACCCTTTGATTCCACCACAGCCTCTCGATAAGCAGCTTAAGCGAATCCGCTCAAGTGGATCTTTAGTTGACATCATATTTTGCTCTGCTTTGATTCGCATCTCAAAATCGTCTCGGTCTGTATCTGCCATTTTGATCTAAAATAATATTTATAAAATAGTAAAATAATCTTAAAAAATGATACTTGTACAGGAAATGTATACCGTGACGTCAAAACCAATTGAACACAATACTTTACACACATATTAGAGAATCGGATTTTACTTGGGCCTAGAAGACGCTTAACTATAGCATGCTGTATGATTTGAATGACACCGCCTCAGAGACAGAGTCGGATTTAGGGGGAGGGGGGTCTCCATAGCCACTGCCTTTAACACTGATGCGTATAGTGAACCACAATAATTTTCTCCCAATTATATACTACCACAAGAGTGTTTGGTAGCCTGCTCTTTCGTTTTTTAAAGCAAAACCCGATTAGGTTTAATCTCAAACAATGTGATATTCATACATACCTTACTAGGCCTACTTTAAAGATTTAAAAAGCAATTTTTAAACGGCAAAAAGGTTCCGGAAAGTTTATGTTTGCTGATTATAGAACTTGTATCGACTTTTGAGTTATTGTAGCTCCAAGGTAAAGACCTATGTTGATGGATACGAACTCAGATACAGTTTTGGAACGGGTCTTTTGTAGTTCACTTTGCGTCTAATTCAATACCTTTATTATGGTTGCCATTCTAAATCAATAATATTCTTCATTAACACGAATTGCTTATATTCTAAAAAAGAAGGGCCATTGATCTCCATGGCAAATAAGCAGCATTTTACATACCGTAACAAAATACTGCACTTGTCTTAATAAATGATTCTGATTGCAATTTATTAACGATAAAAAAAGTTGGAAACTTACTGTAAAATAGATCGTTGTGTACTTCGAGGTTTTGTGTATTTCTTATGCGCCCGGAATTGATGGAAAAACCTTGGATATCTTTGATTGATCCTCGTTTTTCAATGTGTTATCTAAATCAATATTGTGGTTGCCTCAGCTGGTATTCTTTAGGACAACCGTCCTTAACAAAAGAATTATTTACAAGTTTCGGATACGAAAAAATCATTGTCTAAGACACAAGCGGTGATGGATCTGCACGGTTTTGAAACTGCGTAAGTAAATAATGTGCAGCTGTATAATAATCTATAGGTGCTAAGTTTATCCTATCCTATTCTGTACTCTGGCTAAAAAAATACATATCGTCTAATTCTATTTTCACAATGAAAACAACTGAAATAACTGCAATCTCCTATATCACTATAATTGAATATAGGCATACCTATAGTAATTAAGTACAAACATTTAGCACTGGTTGAAAAATACATGAGCAGGGTTATGCAATTTACGTTCACTTGCGCAAATCCGGCAAATTGAGAACAACACAAGCATTATTCATATTAGGTAGCCCCACCTCCCATCCACAATTTACAGTACTGTACATTATTGGGTTTAATAAAAATGATGAAGTTAATTATTCATTCGCAAGACGTTTCGACAGATACTGAGCCTTCTTCTGACATGAGAATCCTTATTGTCGTTTCTTATATAGGTCTTCTCCTAATTAAAGATTTCTCCAATTAAAGACCACCTCCAATTAAAGACCACTTTTTTGTGGTCCCAATTAACAAAGTCTTTTATCTTTATCATTCTAATTAGACCAAAGCTGGTATAGACCATGGAAATCCCGGTCCCAAAAGTGGTCTTTAATTGGGAGGAAGTCTGATATTTAAAGCATGGTCGTGCATATATTTTAAGTACAAATACTTAATATATCTTAAATCTTACACTTGAAGTGATTGATTGCTGACAGCTAAGAAATGTGGTGAATCATCACATAATATTATTTTTCAAGATATATTTACAACATGCATATGTCTCGCTGCTGTTAAATAAACACAATCAAATGATAAATCGCTTTTTGCCTATAACAATATATATTTGGATGTATATAAATTATCAATCCATACACATAAGAAATTAAAAACAAGGGAAATATATATATATATGATATAAACAAAAAAGCTCAAACATAAGCAATTTTTGTTTCGTTTGTTATGTCAGTTAAGAAAAACAAAAACAAAACAAAAGCAAACATAACAAAAATAGAAACACATAACAAAAAACACATATCAAAAACACATAACAAAAAACACATAACAAAAACACATATCAAAAACACATTATACACTATACAAACAACACGTATCGCTGAAAGTATGGCTTATTGATAAATAGACGAAAACAACATTAAGAGAGTCAACGTAATGGATCGCTTATTGCACTGCTACAGCAAAGCAATCCTAACTATTATTGAGCACTGCTTAAACATTATTTGTCTAGACCTTCACTTTTTATTTTCAATTCAATACATATATAAATTTAACCGATTCATTTCATATTACAGAATAAATAAATAAATAAATAAATAATAAAATAACAAGATAATAAAATAATAATAAAAAAAATAATAAAACAATGATAATAATAAAATAATAATATAATAATAAAAAATAATAAAATAATAATAACAATAATAAAATACATTTTAGTGTCACATTTTAAAATTTTATATACAGTACTTGATTTTATATCTTTATTACATTTTAAAATGTTATATAACTGATTTTATATCAGAGGTGCGAATGTTCACCGGCAACGTTTTATATCATTATTGTTTTATTGTATATTCGCCTGTTAAAAAAAAAATAACAATAAAATAATAATGGATGGATGGATGAATGAATGGAATATAAAAAATTATAAAATAATAATAAAATAATAAAATAATAATAATAAAATAATAATAAATAAATAAATTTTAGTGTTACATTTTAAAATTTTATATAGGCCTACTTGAATTTTTATCTTGTTATATGTGCAATTTGGGATCGGCAGCTATCAGAGGTGCGATTGTTAACCGGCAACTTTTTATCTCATTGTTATTTTATTGTATATTTGCTGTTAAAATAAAAAAACAATAATAAAATAATAATAATAACAACAATAATAGGATTTGGATTTATTCGGTGTAAACACCAAGGATAGCCCACGAAAATCTAGAAGAAGACTTATTTCCAGTGGGGTCCTTCTGGTGGTGATTGGGCAGTACACTGGGAGACAATCCCCTACTCTTTTCCGAAGAGTGTACTGCGTTCTTTAACGTGCACATGGGCCATAATGCACACGGGACCAACGGCTTAAACGTCTCATCCGAAAGACGGTGCGCTATTGTAACTTGTATTTCAGCCCTAGAGATGTCCACGGTTCAGCGCACACACAGTGACTACACCACTGTGTGTGTGCTAAGTTGCTCATATAATAATAATAATAATAATAATAATAATTATTATTATTATTATTATTATTATTATTATAATAATAATAATAATAATAATAATAATAATAATAATAATAATAATAATAATAATAATAATAATAATAATAATAATAACAACAACAACAATAACAATAACAACGACCTCAAGTCCAACGTTGTATATCAGTTCACATGTGGAGGCTGTAAGGCCTCATACATTGGGGAGACTTCCCGCCATTTTGCAACAAGGATAGAGGAGCATTTACACAGGGATAAAAATTCACATATATACAAACACATTAAAAAATACAGTAATTCAAAACACACAGTAACAAAAAGTGCTTTGAAATAATAGATAAAGCAAAAACACAGTATCAATTAAAAATCAAAGAATCCCTCCATATTAAATGGAAGAATCCTGAACTTAACAGACAGTTTCAAAGTTACGAGATTACACCAAGCATTTGAACTAGAATTTGAATTACGTAACTCTAACGTGCAAGTAACGACACTACTATCTATTCAAATACCTATTTTAGAATAAATTAAAGCTACAATATTAAACTAAGCATTTGACCTTAGATTGTTTGAGAAACTAGAATTGGAATTACGTAACTTTAACGTGCCAACAAGTTACGACACTACTATGTATTCAAATACCTATTTTTAGAATGTACGGTATTAACTCTAATGTGCATAAGTTATAGGCAAATGTATATAAACCTCAGGATATCTGAATTCGGTTTTTTGTTTTGTTACACTGAAGATGTCGTATTGAATACGAAGAAACATACCTGGTTCTATTAAATGTATTTTTGTTGCTCTTAAATTCGTCTTTATACTACATTCTGTTCGGAAGTTTGGCTGTATTGTACATGAGTTTACACAGACCAGTACGGTCATAAAGCAAGGTCTTAGGCTGTTTGAGAAACTCAGCAAGAAGTTGAAAAAAGCAGACGCAGACATAAATTTTCTCAAAAATTGTAGAATTTTTCGGCGTTTTCCCTAATTTAATAATAATAATAATAATAATAAAAGGAATTAAAAAAAATAATAATAGGGGTTACTGTAATGTAATTAATAGGTTATTCCTTTTTTAGCACGTAGTGTAGCCAATCACACTTGCCAATTTGTCATGGGGACGACATTTCTAATTGATATCTAGTCGATATAATTATAGCACGGACAAGCGATTATACAAATGTTAGTACATTCACATCAACTACAGTACCTGTAATTATGTCATACGCGGACCAATGAAATTGTCCTACTGTACATTTATAAGGCGCCCTCTTCGTTTTCATCATGCACTAACTTTATATCCCATCGGATAGCTGTTCCGGTTGCAAGATCTGGATTCTCTTCGTAGGGCAGATACTGTACTTCTCGAGAAAATACTCACAACCGTTTTTAACTCACAAATAATCAGAATATGGACGCGGCAAATAAGTCTGGAAAACAAGACGAGATAGGCCTATCCGTAGTGCTGATAGCTTACGTTTTTAGTATCAACATATCACTGATGCTGCTAATTTTGTCTGCAAACTTTATCGTTCTCTTTACCATTCACCGAAACTCGTCTCTGTTTAAAAAACCGATTCATATTTTCGCTGCATCTTTGGCGCTCGTTGATTTTATGAACGGTTTGGTCGGCGTACCATTTGCTATTGCTGGATACGTATTACATGCAGTGCAGAACCAGTGCAGTGTTTGGTATTTTTCTCCCATCATTATTATTATTTCAATGTCCGTTGTCAACTTGATGACGATGACAGCGGATAGGTGGATCGCGGTTCGGTTTCCCTTTCGATATAGGATCTGGATGACTGCTGGTCGAGCTGTTAAGATATGTACTTTTGCGAACATGTTTGGATTCGTCATAGGCAGTATGCCATACAGCGCCACACTGGTCGCCAGCTTTGTCGTTGAGTTGAACGAAACATCCGTAGATAACTGCGACAGATTATTTTCGTTGTATAGGCTCTACGGCGATTTTGTATTTGCTTATGTTAACGTGACTCTGACAGCACTGTGCATTCCAATCATGTTAATAGCGTACGGGTATATCTTCATAAAAGCACGGAACCACATGAAGCAAAGGGAAATGCGTAGAGGTAAGCATATTAGCACATTAGCAATGAAGGCTTGTAAAACATGTGCTGAAATTCTGATTGTGTTCATTTTATGCCTAGCTCCGTCGACTATCAAGGAACCCGTAGAGAACGCAATAGATGACGGCGCATCATGGTTGGTTTGGTTTCCATGGTTTTCGGACGCACTGATTATTTCGAACTCATTTATGAATCCGCTTATCTATTCTCAAAACAACGACGACTTTAAAAAACAATATAAAAAGTCGATCGATTTCATTATATCGAAATTTAGGCCTAAAGTCAGGATAAAAGAAAATGATAAGGATATTCAGCTTCTTTCTGTTTCCTCACGTACACCAGTCACAAATTAGCAGTGTCGTATATGAGTATGGACATGGAGGAGCGCTGCTCTAAGAGGAGGGGATTGAGTACGGTAATCGATGATTAAGTAAGGTGCGTTAGCCGCCAAAATAAAATAAAGTTAATGAGGTGATTTGTAACTAGCTACTTGAGTAATAGCTTTTGTTCAGTATGGGTAAGGGTTGGGGAGGGCCCAAGCTTTGGGTGAGCGTGCGCTCCCCAATCCCCCCATCTTCGTAGACGCAGCTACAAGTAGTGGTGCTCAAGCAAGGTGGTCGAAACGCATGTACTTTGGTAATAACATTGTGTTTGATAATAATGCGCAACCGCTTCCGTTACAACGTTAATATATGCAATGGATCGAATGTAATAGAGCTATGGATAGGTAGTTTAATGAAGTGCTTAGATTGAAGAAGAAAAATAAATATTACCGTATTACTGATTCCTCGAGGATCATACTTAGAAACGTTAAAAAGCACCAAAAGCATCAAAAATAATTTATCGTAATAAAAAATATACAATAGTGTAATTTGAAATTTCTTACAATTATTTTCCATGCTAATTTGCAGTATTAACGTATCAACAGATTTCGGACCCAAATGCGTCAGAAAGTTTACGCTGTTAGGTGGTCACCGAAGTCCATGGGAAGGCACACCATACATAATTGGTCAACATAAACGCGCATTGGAGAGCCAGACAGCTCAAACTTACACGCGTTTTTTTTATAAGAACCATACGAAACAGTTTATTATTGGTCAGCCAAGGGGGACGCTTCTTTCCCCATCTTTTCTGCTGGCCCACACCAAATTCAGCTCCCACCATGGTTGAATCCAGCAAATTTCAAGATTAGGTGCCTCTAGATTTTCGAAAACGGCACTCTCATACTGTAAAATCAGTGTTTCTGCGACAAAATAAGTGATTTCTTTTTCCCGGGGAGGGACTAGGGAGTTCCCAGACAGTATACCGTAATAAAATTAATTTAAATTAAACAATGACTGTACGACCAACTGATTTTATTCATAAATCTTCGTGTATATATATAAACAATCAGTAAAAACAAAATAATCGGTCACTGTAATTAAACCAAGTCGTGGAATATGGTTACTAATTAATATCATTCTCCAGATCAACTGGTGTTAGGTGAATTAGGTCCTATTATTTTCAAATCATATCTGTTTATTGCGATACTACATTCAAGACTCTACACAATCTTCTACAAAAATATTACTAAAAAAGAGGAAAAAAGAAGAAAGAAACGGAGAAATGTTGTACCGTATCTAAACAGCTGTCGGAATAAAAATGTGCATTATCAACATGCTGCTCTCTCTTTGAATGGTTATCGTCTCAGTACATGAGCCCTAGCTGCATGCTTGGCAATCTTCATAACCTTGTTATCGCCACGGATCATTGGTAACGTTAAAACTTACGTAAACAATTTTATGGTATTGAATGAACATATAATAGGCCTACTTGGACACAAACAGCTTCAAGACATTAGGCCTATTATAGATGAATGCAAAATGGACAATTATTTAAATAGATTTAAATTAGTGGTCTATCTGTCCTCAAATTTTAAGGCCAATTTTTACGTGGATAGTTGGAACACATTATGCAATACCGTATGCGTTTTAACACAAACAATAGACTTAGCTATTCTGAATTCTACCATTGAATATTGTTATTTCACACTTATCAAAATGCAGCCACACGGTTGATCACCTTTTAAAAATTCAGAAAGTTCTGAATGACAAACGTTCAAAAGCACGAACAAAGCTCTTCATTGTAAGGTATAATTCTTTAAAAGAAACAACTTCAAGACGAAATCGGGGTAGGTTTATAATAATAAGATAATTATTAATACGAATAATGTTTGCCCTACCTCACGTGTTATAGTACTGAATGCGCACGCAGTACGTTTCCAAGTACTTGCGAAAAAATCTCGCAAGTGATTCGGGTGGGAATCGAACCCACACCCTGCGGATAAGAATGGTGTCTTGACCACTGACCGCCGAGCTTGCGCTTGGTGTGATAAATCCGATCCCAAGTAGCAGCGGGTACTACAGTGTTACTCCGATGGCGTGTTTTCGTCAGGAGATAATAATAATAAGAAAGATGTTTTCCCTACCTGACATGTTACCGTACTGAATGCTCAGTTACGTAACCAAATACCCAAAAATTTCGCAAGTGATTCGGGTCGGAATCGAACTTACGACCTCCAGATAACTAGTCTGGTGTATTAACCACTCGACCACTGAGCTTGTGCTTGGTGGTTAGTGATGAATCCGATAGCAGCGGGTAGCATTGCTATTCCGATGACGTGTTTTCGTCAGGAGAAATAATAATACGAACGATGTTTACCATACCTGACGCGTTGTCGTAGTGAATGCTCCTCAGTTCGTTCCCAACGAAGAAAAAAATCTCGCAAGTGGTTCGAGTGGGAATCGGAACCACGACCTCCAGATAACTAGCCTTGTGCCTTTCACTACATCACCGAGTTTGCGCTCGGTGGTTAGTGATGAATCCGATCCTATTATAAAAAAAAAATTATATTTAAATTTAAGTTTTTGGTGATATGCAATCCAGTTTTTATTTTTTTTATTTTAAGGGTTTCTTTTGGAATAGCCACCAGTTAAAAAATCGCTCGCAGGCGTTCTTGTAAATTATTCCTTTTTATAAGGTAAATTGTGATGTCGATAATTACTTCTATATTCTATATAGGCCTAATTAGACTCAAGTTTTTGCCTTTTATATTTATTTCCTATCAAACAGTAAATGAATTCATCCCTTGATGATAAAGCCAAAAAAAATGAACAATAAAATCAACACTTTAATTGCTTGATTCTTATTTTCTAGATTTAGCTTTTAATCAAAATTGGAACGATAAAATGTTTCTCACTAATAAAAATACGCATAATAATTCGTTACGGTGCTTTAATGCTTTCAGACTTACAATCTATGGCTTTTTAACTCTGCACATCTTTTATGATTTTTATTTTGTTTTTAATTTTCCACAAATTACAAGATAACAATGTTTTATCTAGGCCTATTGTGCAGTGACGGATTCAAAGGGTGCCCAGCCACCCCCCTCCACCCCCCACCTACATTTTTAAAAATTAAAGAAAAAAGATTATTTTAAATGTGTCAGAGTGCAATTTCTGGCCGTCTAGAAGTGCCATAATCGTAAATTTAATCTAGACCCTCCATCTGTGAAACTCTCTCCACCACATTGTCACGATCATTTAGCTTAATCTTGCAGTATACGCCAGTCCATGACATCAGCTTTATATTTATTTCTGATGAAAAATCACAATAACTCGACTTATGGTTTTCTTTATGATTGCTTTAGGATACTGTAAAATAGATGATTACTGTACCAGTAATTTCAGTCATTCCATGATGAGACCATGAGTCCACACCCATCAATATAATAATATTTGAAGCTCAAATTTATGTCACGATTAAAAGAAAGTATAATACTTTAATTCGTTTTTGTTGACTCAATTTGTCAAATAAAAACAATTTTAAAAAGTAATCTAAGTTCATTTCTGGGCATCCATGGTGCAAAATACGGAAAATATTCGCACGTCAGCGCCAAAAATGGAGGTGTTGACGCTGTCTGGACTCCCTTTCAGCACCCACTTCCACCAATCCTGGAGACGCCACTTCTCTTTTTAACAATGCTATGTGGTCGTATTTCTATTAACAGAACATTTTTTTTTTGCTGTTAAGTACTGAAAATTGGCAGGAAAAATTATTTGTTTTTGAGGGGATCAAAATCTTTGGCGGGCCGGAGTGGGCCCCACGGGCCGGGGGTTGAATACAGTGGCGGAAACAGGAATTTGAAATAGAGGGGAACCAGAGAGAGGGACTTTCACAAATATGAAATCGAGGGGGACTTTCACAAATGGAGGGTATATACTACCGGTACCTCAGCCCCACAATGGTTGGGGCTGAGGTAAGAAAACGTATGATTATGGCACCTCTAGATGGCCGGAAATGGCACTCTCAGACTTGAGTAGAATTTTCTTTTTTTTTTCTCAATTTTTTTTTTTTTAATTTTTAAAAAATTAGCCACAGCCGCCCATCCCCACCCACCCCGAGACATGTGCGTATTCATAGCACTATTAACTTTGATTGACACTACGGAAAGTTACATCATGATATGGTATCGAAGTAGGCCTATCTGTCTTAGAAAATGGAGTTCTAATTTTGCTTTGGTTGTGATGACGTATTTAGAGCGTTTCAAATGCAAATGTCGTTTTTAAAGTTCCGATCATCGAGAATCGACAATGCACTAAACGATTGACTTCGCTATTAATTTCACCTTCGGATTAAATTGACTTGAACTAAAGCAATTTCAAATAACATCTTAGAAAATGCGAATCATACAATAGGCCTAGCTGAAGAAGCCATTTCGCATTGAAAAGTAAATTGGTAGCGCGATATCTTAATTGCCGCACATAGTCTATTGATTGCCCTGCCTGGTAAAAGCCTATTTATTATGTCAAATTCTTTAAAACGATAAATGTAACATCTAATCTAGATTAATGTTTGCGTTTAAAGAACACAAATCATTCTTAAAGAATATCAGGCTTATTATCCACTGGACCTGCAGTGGCGGATCCAATATTTAGGCCTACATAGATTATAACATGCATTAGGCCCGTAGCGTGACTTAATTAATGTAGGAGGTTCGTTTCAGTGGAAAGTGGACCCTTTGGCTTGTATGATCTCCGATACTCCGGAGAACATCGTAAATAAAGTCAATTTTTCGTTTTTAAATGCGGATTTTCTCCAGTTTTTGGGCGGTTCGTCGTAAGCCCCTTAAACCCCCCACCCCCAATGCTACAGGTCTGTGAATTCACTATAGCCTGGATTTCTATTAAAGCATGTTGGTATAGATGCCTAGTTACAGAAAATCTTCTCTATCTGCTGGGTAGCAGTCCCGGGGTGGGGGGGGGGTATTAAAGGGGTTAAGTATTAGAAGGGCCACACCCTCCATGGTTGGAGCTGAAGCTAAATATAGCACTCTAGACTTAGAAAAAATATGTTTTTCAAAGTGTCTAAACTTGACAGTATTGCTGACGTTGATATACTGTACATCAAATATTTTTAGTAATGACAACAGGAGAGAATGGCAAGTGCCAGGAAAGTCTACACCCACCTGGGGGTGGGGGGAGCTTGGGCGAAAAAAATCAATTATGTAACGTACTACACTATATACCCCACCATGGCTGGATGAGACGAAACAAATATCGGATGGAGCCGCTTTAAATGCAGGAAATAGCATTCTCAGACTTAAAACAGTTGCTGCATGGCAAAGCGGTTGCCTCCTCAACTTTGAGGACGGAGGTCCGATCCCTCACTGTGTATTTCGTTTGTGTCCTTGGGAAAGGCACTTTACCTACGGATGTTTCTCTCCACCCTGGTAGGTTCAAATGCAAAATGCGCTGATTACAGCTGCAGTATTAGGTAGTTTTCTCAGCACAACCTTAACCTTAACTTTAACCTTAATTTTAACCTTACTACCCAACATGCAACGCGATAACTCCGCCCCTTTTCTAAAAAAATCGAAATACGCATGCGCAAACACGTAACTAACTTACGTCGAGCACGCAAGATGAATGAAATTATGACGTCATCCGTTAACGTTAAGGTTAACGTCGTGCGGCGAAAACTACCTATTATGGAATTCTCCCCAGGGTATGAGTTGTATTTGACCGGGGTAAATAATGTTGGCATGAAGTCTACCATTACAGTGCACCTTCCATTCCAGATCCTTCTAATTCCGAGACCCTCTAATTCAAAACCAATTTTTCAAAGTGGAGACCAAACTCCGGGGTCACCCCAAATTTTCAGGTCTCAAAGATGGTCTCGAATTAGAAGGCGAACTTAGTATTAAAAATATTACATTTTTGGGGCTGTTGCCGACTGAACAAAAATCAGGGGTGCAGAGACAACTTTAAATGGTCTATTAGACTTTAAATATTGATTTGACTTCTTAAGTTAAAGTAGATCAAATATTTTTTTAAATTGTTGAAAAGTGGTGGGGGTGGGGAGGAAATACAAGGAGCCTTAACACCCACTTCAGCATGCACCAAGGTTGGAATGAATATAATAATAGCTCCAGATTCCTGGAAATTGCACTCCCAGACTCGATAAATGGTTTCTAAAGGGTTTTACTTTGACAGTATTTCAATACACCACAATTTGTTTTTTAATTATGAAAAAATTGCTAAATCTAATGAATTCCTGAATTTAATAAGCGTTACTTTTGAAGGCCGCCGCCGCTGGTACTGACATTTGTGCGAACATCTTGTGGATTGAAATATGGTTTATCTAAATACAGCAGATAATCATGCAATAACTAATACTGTACCTGGATACAGTAGATATTTCACAAAATAGATTAAAACATCTCAGGAATACAGTAGGGAGCAGCTGACTATACATAATAACTCCTAGAAGTCAAAACT